TCCGTCGAGACCCAAGTACCGGAAATTCTTCTCTATTACGTCAAAATCTAAGGGGGTGGTGGGGGGTGGGGGGGGGGGGGAAAGAAACAAGGGGTTTTGTTTTTTGAGGAGTAGCCATGATTTCCCCGATGCCTGGTCATATTTCCCCAACAATGCGGACTCCTCGGAGTAAATTGCAGAGGAATCAAATGTTCATTTCCATTTTTCTTGGCATTGGTTTCGCTAGAATCGAAAAATGGGAGCCGGAAATAGATTTTGACGTAATAGAGAAGAATTTCCGGTACTTGGGTCTCGACGGAACGATTTCATCGGTAAGCCGCTCCATCGCCACGGAAACGCATTTTCGGCGAATCCTCTCACCGGTTTGCGGCTCCCGTTTCCATGGCAATCATCACCAAGGAAACGTAAGCTTTCGCTGGTCCAGGCTTGGAAAAGATGAATACCAAGAATCAGGAAAAAAAAGCGGGAAAAGCCACCCGAGACGAAAGCCGCCAGGAAGCCATTCACCCCGCTACATACCAGCGACCCTAGCAGCTGTCGACTGGCTCTTCTGGTGGTTGCACCTGAAGCCCCTGGAGAGAGAGAGCCTGGCCAACCTGGGTCACACTTTTCGACGCATCTGATTGGCTGACGCGCATGGGAGCCATTTTCGCTCCAGCCGCCGCATGAACACGGTCCACGCAATGCACGTGAAGTGGCTTTTCCGCATTGATCGTAGAGCAATAATGCCGCGCCGTGCAGACTTCTGTTTCCGATAGACGCCCGGAGAAGATCCCTTTTAGGTTGCGAAATTGAAACGTGAATATTGGGAGCTTTAAGATTGATCTCGCTCGTGCGAGGTAACCATAACATAAGGCCTAGCCGATCCAGTAAGGAACCCCTTTGGGGGCCGGGACAACACTGCCCCAACTATAAATGGTTGGCATTTATGTAAAAGGCAGAACCTTCATGGTGTGAATTCAGGTTAGGCCTCTGAAGCTCTGCTGAAAAATACGCTATCTAATATAAGGTCATTTGGGGTGTGATCGATCCTAATTTTTTAAAAGTACTTACAAGTACCTTATGCCATCAACGAAGTATGCACTATAGAAGTACTCTGTCGTGCTAATCCTGGTTTACATATCTCGTCAAATTTCACTGGTTCAACTGAGAAATATTTCACTGAATATAAAAGTGCCCTATTTCAACTCCATTACTTAATTCGGTGCACCTCATTCAACTTTCCCGCTATGATCAGTACTGCAGAATCAAATAACATATTTGTATCATGGCAAAGTAGACTCCACGCTCTTTCCAACTAGTCCCTTTCGACGTTCCTTACATGCACATGCTATGCTCGGGCATAGGACGACTGATCACGCTTCAACCCGTGGAATTGGGGCGTCGGGGTGAGTGCGATCATTCGAAACGCGACTCTTTCGCGAGGCTTGTTCGCGCGAATCGTCTTATTCCCTCGCTCGAAGACGTAACATTTCAATCACGTTCCTGAAGCTGAAGTCGCTCCTTCTTGCTGGAAGTTCTTTGTCTGATTGCATCGACTTAAAAAAATTCGTGAAGTGGTCTAGGACCCATCCTCACAGGGTTTTGAAATTAGTCTACATCTGAATTATTTTTAAGCACCATTGTAGCATGAAGAATTAGAATTTGCAATGCTCCCGTCAATTTGACAATCCATTATCAGCCAAGTTCCAGCAGTCAAGTCAAGCATAATTCAATTCATGCCAGCTGAGGGCTGGTCGTCTTAGCTCATTATTTCAGGTACGAGTTTGTATCATGTCTGAAGCATATTCACACTGTCACGAGAGGTAAAGGAACGTAAAGTCGATTTCCTAGGATGCAGAGATGCTTGAAGGGTGCCTATAAAAGATGAAATATGTAAGCTGAAACTATCCTTTCAAGGGGAAGCATTTTGAATTCAATCGTGATACGAATATATACAAATTTGAATAAAACTTTCTGCATGGTCGTCAGACACACATCGGTGACCCAGAGGGAACCGACTTGGTGGGATTCAGCTGGCTCGAAATTGGCATCTGGTTATAAGGAAGTACATTCCGAAGATTTCGTTAGTGCAGGGGTGTCAAACATACGGCCCGCGGACCGGATCCGGCCCGCGGAGGTGGTTCATCCGGCCCGCCGTCGGTTCGTGAAATTTCCGCTTGGATTGAGTTTCAGCACAAATTTCAATGAAAAATTATGGGTGTGGCCCGCAGACATCTGCAGGGTAAGTAATGCGGCCCGCCGACCGATTTGAGTTTGACACCTCTGCGTTAGTGTATCTCGTAGCGTGGAGACAGAATCCACTCTCGACGAGCGTGCCTCATATGAGGAAACCAGAGCGATTTATGGAAGAATTGACTGGGGGAGAATGGGTGGATGTGCACTGTGGAGCGAAAATGGCGCCCTTCGCTGAGGTTGGCCAGGCTCTGAATGCGCCGCCCTCCCAGCGCCATCCTCCGGCGGTCGAGAGAGTCTCGTGCAGGAGCAGACGCCTTTCCCTCCCGTCCCTCCCTTCATTCGCGCGCGGGTCGCCATCCCGGCGTGACCGTCACGCGACTCGCTCCTCTCTCCCTCTGAGCGTGTCGTCATCGGGACTCGGTCGACTCGCTTCATCGACAGTGCAATGTCTGCTCCCCCGAGTTCTCCTGGAGTTTCCGATCGTCGAGGACGTTCGACCCCAGGACTAAGCAGCAGCACGGAAAATTTGAGGAATTTCATCTAACGCTTTCGCCGCGTCTCGGGTTAAGGACTCGGCGCTGCAACCCGATCGGATCCGATCGATCCGTCTTGACGATATCAGACTCTCGAGGGAATCCGATGGCGTCGGCATAAATTTCGAATCGAGAGACGTAAAAGGGATCCCCTATGGTGTCGATTTTCCTTTAATAAGCAAAGAAACTCAATTGCGAGAGATGCCAAGTGAAGTATGGGACGAAGTCGGGGTGTCCACTTTGGTTCCAGAGAGACGCGAGGTCAGCTGTGAGGTTGAGCCGCCCGGTGTCCTCGCTCTTCGTCGCAATTGTCCTCGAGTCCCATCGGAGCCTGCACCGAGTCACAAGGGGTTTTTCGATAGAGCTTCTCTCCGAATATCCCCGGTGACGACGAAAGGCTTCCGTTCCTCCGCCGTCGTCCATTCCCTCAAGATTCGGAAAATAAATGCCTCGAAAATAAAAGAAGGCGGTGTCGATGTGCCTGGAGTCAGTCTCGAGGGCTGGGTTCCCAAGGCCTTCCCCGATTCCTCGTTGCTTCGAGTGAAGCTAACAATCACGGTCGTCATGATGACGACAAAAGAATAATGCTAACAATCGTGATAGTAATATCATAGTATCACTCAGTCAAAAGGCAGGGTAGAAGGAACATCAAGGTCGCATCAACGAGGACTCATTCCGTGCCTCGGGACGCTTCCTGCTTCGCTTATGTGCGGAGGGCGATTGGAGTCGATATGCAGGATGGTTTTGTTTTTTTTGAAGGGCATCTCCCTAAATTGTGGCGACTACTGTAATTTTTTTTTTTTTTAGGACTGGGATCATGGTTCTCGGGCGAAAAGAAACAAAATTGAATGGGGTTTCATGACGACATTGTGTGTCATACAGGCCATTCTCCTTCGGCCACCCTCGAACGCCAGTGCAGCTAATTGCTCAAGGTGTCGAGGATTCCTTGTGGCGCCGTGGAGGATTACTGTAAGCAGACAAATCAATGAAATCATAAAACCTCTTCGAATTGTACTTCTTTCGAGACAAAAGCCATTGCTCAAGTCCAATAAATACACAATATATTATTTAATTATGGGGAGTGACTCTCCAAACACCCAGCATATCGAATGGGTTAAACGGGAATTCTTCTCATTAGTAGGGAAAATGACGCAATGGCCCGAATCCGCGACAAGGAGATGCTTTTTTCAATGACAGTCGTCTCGGCAAAACGGACGATTTTATTGGAAAAAAAACGTAGATAATTATTGCAATAGTTGTGCCTCGACGTTCCATCGAAACTCGATCCTCGATTACGCCCAGTGAAGCCTTAACAAGCGACGGAGTCGAAGGATCCGGAGGAGGGGGGCGGGGTGGGGGGTGGGGGGGTCACTTTCGCGGGCATTGCGGTTCCGTCGTTCGACGCATTCCTGCGAAATTCGCAATCTTTGATGCTTCGACTCGCAGCAACATTCGTGCCGAATTTCGCTCCGGAACTTCCAATAGTTTCGGAGAAGAGCGAAACCCAACAGAGACCGACTTTTTCCAATAAACACTCTCGTAAGGGAACCTCTCATTTCTCTGGTATCGGGATCGGAGAAATTAGTTTCTTTTTTTTCATCTTTCACAACACAACTCCTCGCGGTCGCAGTCCATGCTTCGTCGTCGGTGCACAGTTCAAAAAGGTGAAAGCACACTTGCCGCTTCGCTTGGGTTCTTCTCCTCTTCTAATGCAACAGAACATGGGTGACTCTCTTTTCCCTTTTTTAAAATTTTATTTCACCGTTTCCCGATTTTCGCTGGTAAATACAGAACTGGAAATCGAACAAGCGGGTAATGAATCTTCCCACTCTCCCCAGTCGATTACCAAATCACCATGTGGTTCAGGACATATCCTTTCCCGAATTTTATCACATTTCGCAGGTTTTAGCTTCTTAAGAGTTAAAGAAATTCGACCCGTGCTCTTTCGTCGAAAAATTCAATGGCCGAGAACCGATGTTGAAATAATTTAATGTTCGTTATTTTTAGCTCTTCATTCTGCAATTCTTCCAACCGACCCTCACGATGAAGATATGGGGAAGAGCTAGGAAGGGCCAGTTCAGCCATCATCCATCGTTCTCCAGGGAAAATGACATCGGAACTCGCTGATCTTCGTTAGCTCGTATCTAATGCAGGACACATTTATCGCAGTTTTGATTCCACTCGCGTTTCGACTCCGTCATACTTCATTTTAACGAAGACGTAGGGCAACAATAAATAAATAAAAATAGTCAGAAACCCCACGAAATCACACACAAAGGATGTTTACATATGGCAAGCCCTTTATTTTTTTTCTTGAAGAAAGAACAACTCTTGGAACGCTGAAAATAACCAATCTCAATCCCGTGCTTACGTCAAAAAGGTACCTTCGATCAATGCCAAGAGCTTCCTCTTCGTGAGATCAAGAAAAAGAAATCTAAAGAGAAGAAGAAAAACACACACACACACTCGTTCGACTGGCTTCTCCATCGCGAAAAAAGACCGGAAACGCGGAAAAAGTGAAAAGTGCGCAAGAGAGAGCGCAAGAACCCTGCATTCGAAGTTTCCAACAGAACGAACAATTTTTGCTCAAGATCTGGAGCGTATAAAAACGCGGAAACCATCCGCTCTTCCACGGGTATCGAAATGGAGAAACCAGCCCGAGGAATTCTTTGTCTTTCGTAATACTTGGGAGAATGCACGGGGAAGAGGGTTAAAATCGCCGACACTTCTTATGTACAAAAGTATGAGAGGTCGTGGAAAGGGAAAAAAAAAAGAGCTAAACAAACTTCCGTCATCGGTTCGGTACACAGCACCTAAATGCAGAAGGGAATCCTATGGCACCACACCGAAATCCATGCAAAAGATCCTCTCGACTAAAAGATTCACCGAGAGAAAATAGTGCGCAGCGAGGTGAGGAGGGCAGGCAAAACGAGCAAACGATCCTCAATATTTCTCCGTTATCAAAGCATTGGTGTTTCCGGAAACATCACCGGTCCTCGAAAAAGCTCCTCTCTTCTAGTTACCATCACCATCATCATCACGGGTGGCACGATGGAACCTGGGGCTCGAACCGAGCACCCGATTCCTCTGCTTCTTGTCTATGCTAGATCCACATAAATATGGGACCGGGTCACTATCACATTCGATTTGACTTGGGAGAGGGGCAATCGATATTTGAGTCTGCTGCACGGCAGGAACTTCTCGGTTGTCACTGGTCGAGGGCCATGAGTCTGTTCAGCAAGAACAGCACATATTTGACAGGTATCATCACTAGAAGCGACACATGGAATTCTATTATAGATTTTTTGGTAATCTTTGTTTTAGTGCTGCTGTAGGTCACACGCTTTTAATTTTTATTTAGAAGGTGGGAAAAAGTACATAAATATTTTAGTAGAGCACCTGGCTGTTAGCAAAACAGGTGTGACGATTCAGCAGTGCAAAATGATTTCCCAAGAGACAATACCAATCTCTGAAAATTCTTCTCACCCTGATCACACGGTCTGACGAGAGCCGACAATAGAAAATCTTTTAGCCTCGATGACATGTTCAGGAATGTCACACCTGCCATAAATAAATTCTGATCCATTTCAATTAATGATAGCCAGCTCAGTACAAAGATTTAAACCTCCCTCTGCATGCAGAGGGTCAATTCTATCACGGGGTGAAGGAGATCTCATTCACCTCTGGTAAATGGTCAACGACACCAAGGGAAACTCTCGTCTGAATCCAGAGGGTGTGCGCATGAGTGCAGGTACGAGCAGCAGGAAATTCAGTAATTTGTTCACAGACACCTATTGTGGCCAGGGAGGACCCCATATAAATACAAAAAAATGTAGATCTAGAAATTGGGCACGTGATAACACGGCTGCTCTGCAGGAGCGATGACCGTATTGAAGCGAGATGTGGGCATCGCGGACTTGTTGCGAAACCAAAGCATTGGGGTTCAATTCAGATGTGACTCTCTGGGACAGGAAATAGGAGTCGACTCGTAGCCATCACAGTTATGACTCTTTCCTGGCCCTCCGCTTCGGGCTCGGATGGCCGAGAGCCCAAGATCTTCACTGCCGAGATTTTCGCTCGATGATACGCCTTTATGACGGAAAACCCCAGAAACCTGAATAACAGACACTGTCATTGTGATAGCTGCCTTTGAATGTCACTCATTCAAAAAACCCTCCAATATCAGTGAACTAACACAAATAAGACACATTTGTGATGAGAAAAAACTGAACCATCATCCCAAGAAGCCATACCTGACACAGAGGTAATGAACGACTAGTGCCAATCCCACAGCCAGGAGCTTGATTCCTGTGGATGCTTGGACTTGAAATGCTGCCCATGCCCCAATGCCAGCAACACACATGACCATTGTCAGAAGAGTGGTGTGGACCCAATGCCTCCTTTTCATAGGGAAAGCTCCTCTGAAAGCACTACCAGCTCCCCATTCCAACTGATAGGGTGTGTCGCAGACACGACAACGCATTGCACCTCCATCCCCTGTTTCATCTTTTCCTGCAGCCTGAGTGAAGAAGTTTCCATGAGATCTCTTAAGTCTACCAAAACATGTAAGCAAGCCAAGGCACTAAGATGAGGAAAAGCTTCACACTATTCTGCATGATAGGTGGAAAACATAGCATGCTAAATATATCAATTAAAATGGATGTGCAGATGTTTTCTGTAAAGCAGGATGTCAAATTGATGGCCTGTGGACCAGATCTGGCCTGGCAGTCCATTTTGCCTTGCCTGCAAGGCCCTCTTCTCCCTCCTTTTCCAAAATGGCCTTGGAGGACCTTTTGCTGCTAAATCTCAACCTCTTTATATAGACAATTTAGGAAAAGAAATTTTGAATTTGTCATCATGGCCCTCAACTGCCCTGAAGGATTTCATCAGGCCCCCAGGATAATCAGGTTTGACACATCTGCTGTAGAGAATGTAAAAAAAATAAAGCCTAGTTACCATAAGTAAGCCTTTCTAAGCAAATAGGCAAAGGAACACAGGCACTACCTGTAAAGAGTAGGCTTCACTCATGAAAAGTATAATTAACATCAACTTTCAGTATTCCTCTCAAATAATAAATATCACATCTTAAGGAAGACTAAAACCCTGATCACCCCCATATATTTGTTTTTCCAGAGCAGCAGTTATTTGTAATTAAATTAATAAATAAAAATGAAATAAAGAATTGCCAGCATCAACTTTTTTGACTAAGAATTTAATTTCTCTGACACTACTTTGGGTTTAAGTGAACTGACATGGTATTTCAGTTCATTCTTCATTGGTAGCCACACAGGCATTTTCTTCAGCATAACATTTAGCAATAATCTTTTATATTCCTATTTTCCTCAAGAGGAGGGGAAAATAACCCATTTCTGAGGAAATGTGAACCCTTGCTGAAACTCTTATGAAGAGTAGAGGTCCCTCAGCCTTCAGGGTTTTCAAACAAGAGTCAGGAAAATGCATTCTCAGCCACAACAAAAGTGGAAGGAGGAAAGATAAGACATCAACCTATGTTCAACATATAATCAGCCAACACATGAAAAAAAAAAGTTTACTTTAGATTCAATAATAAGAAGTTGTCCAAAGATGATAATATTTCCCTTTGCTGCAGTGCTATTCTCACTCTGACAGGAATTTATGCTTTCACTGCAGTAGGGCATGAAGAACATGCTGCTGTAGTAATAGGGATGGCATGGAGAGGCACAACTGAATGTTCTGGGTTCAGTGGTGTAGTGGTAGAACACCTGACCAGCAATCAGGAGGCCAGGGTTCAATTCCCGGCCACCCTGACTTTCTTTCATCCTCTCATGCCATCCAATGACAGAGCTAAATCCAAAAGCAGGCATGACAAGTACAACTATCAAATTCCACAGTCTCAATACCTCAATGAGCCACCGACGAAGACAGTCATGATGCACAGCTCCAACACCGCCTTTGCATTGACATGGTTGTATTAGTGGCCCAGCATCTGCTCTCTCTCCATCATAGCATATCCAGCATTCCAAACCTGATACATTGCTGTCTCCACTTGCATTGCTACTACGATCATCATCTGTTGAATGAGAGAAAAAGTTCAAATGTTAAATATTTGCTGAGCATCACTTTATCACAAATATTAGGTGAGAATTAATACATAACTAAGTAATAAACTGGATCTGTGCAATCATCGCCTTTGCAACTTGTAAGGTAACTTTGATCTAATATCTATAACAGGAAAAGATGATCCTACCTTCAGCAGCTGATACTCCAGGCTGATGTACTATAGATTCTCCTGCCACAGCATCAGCATCAAGTCGCTTCAAGATCCTCTTTGGATTCAAAATCCATAGCTGATCAGGTCTGAAAATATTTGTTAGATTATCACTCATCACTTAATTCTACTTTTCAGTGAGAACACTTCAATGGGGACATAGCTATCTCATTATGGTTTCTAATGCAAGCAGCCTTTGAATGAGAGTTTGATCACTTAGTCACCTATTACAAGCTCAGCTGTTTTCTCTCACAGGCAGGTAATCAACTTAATTGAAATATAAAATAATTGAGTTTAAGTGAAGAGAAACTTTAATTTGTAAGAGGAATAACCCAATTCCTCAAATAAACTTTGTGACTTAGGGTGTCATAAATTGCAGATTAGTTTATGCTAATGAAAAACAAGGAATGTCCAAAAAAAAGATTTAAATGGTCTTCTCAAAAGCTTCAAGCACATAAGATGATATAAGGCAGGTGATATTACTTACCTGATGCAATTCCAGAGCACACATGGAAACCAAAGTGCAGAAGCCAATTCTACCAGTCTGAACACAATAGCATGCCAATTTCGACTCATCACTGGTACTCTGAAATGTTAAAACAGGAGTATACAGTGATTTGCTCAAGAATCACCCTAAAATCACTTCAGGCCTAACATCAGCAGCCTATATTCAGACCAATTTGTAGAAACTTTAATAGAAAAAAGAATGGATTTTGAAGAAAAAGAGTTGAATAAAGCATGCACCCCAAAGCTTGCTTCAAGACATCACACTACTGTCACACTTTGAGTGATCCTTGAAAACCTGGAGGGTTATTCACCTTCTCTTGGCCATGTGAAGCTAGGAAGAATGTCAGTTGAATTCAAAATTTAAAAAAAATTACTAGTACTCCCCAAACATCATATATGGATCATCAGGATAAGGAGTTGTGCAATATTTCTGGACACAAAGATAACTTGATGTACTCACTTGTCCTTCCAGAAGTGGCCAAGAACATCAGAGAATAAGAAGCAAACAGTGCACAAGAGTATGCATGCTTGGAATACAAGACCAAATCTTGACTGATGGAGTTGACCAAAGTCCACAGTGGCATTCAGGACATGTTCTGAAGGCTCATGCTGCAACAGAAAAATTGAAAAAGGCTTGCATCCCCCTTCTTTCATATTACAACTCTTTTGCTCTGTGTCTATATAGTCTGCTTTGTACAAATATGATTCCTCAGAAACTGTCATGAATTTCATTCAAGATGGAAATGGTGACAGGGGCTTACTACTCCATCATCAGGCTGTAATTGCTCCTGTTGTGTCTGTGTCTCTGGGTGTTCTCGTCCCCTCTTGCCTTTGATTGTTATCGTCTCCAGTGCATGTCCATTCCTTTGAAGATCTCTCAGGAAGCCTCCTCTCACCTTGAGTTGAATAAATTTCAGAGTGAGAAAAATTGTTACCATTATAATAATGTTCACCTTAATCAATACCTTAATCTGAATGTAAAGCACCAGACTGATTCTAATGGAAAAGTCTTATTTTTTTTAACAGGCTGTAACAAGAAAACATCAGCTTCAACACAATTGAGTCTCATGAAAATCCATTTTTTACTTAAAATCTGAGTTGAAATCAATCAGGTGCATATCATTCGCAGCATCATTTGATTGCTGACTTCCTCACTGAAGTGAGAGAAAGGTACAGGATACTCACCTTGAAAAAGACCTCCACTCCGTATATGAGGAAGAACACGACGACAATGAAAATAAGAACTGCGTAGCAGCCATTGAAGATCTGGACTAGAAATTCCTGAAATGGAAATAAACAAGAAATACACACCATCCAGTGGAGAGATCTGCTGAACTGCAATGATGCAGCATCTTCAGTATAAAAAAAATAAACTCTGTCTCAGATAAGCCACTGAAGGAACATTAAACTAGGTTCAGCTGTTCTATGGCATATAAGGTATTTCTGGGATTTGTTCACAAACAAGCCTTGAAGTTGAAAAAGCTCATAAAGAGTGGATTGCAACTGTACAGTTCAAAGCTCTGTTTATATTGGGTAAATGATGCTGCATTTCACATTTAATATTGCTGATCATATCATAACATATCTCATTTAAAAAATAATATAAAGACCCAAAGAGGAACTGACTACTCATACAGGGTGCTAACTCAAAACTACTCATTTACTCACATGAATTGGTTATGGGAATGGCCATGAGGTTTCAGTCTTCACAGGATTGCTACCCAAGTATGCATTCAAGTATGTTTTTTTCATAGCAGGTTAGTTGAAATGGCAAAGCTTGGTTATTATGAAAAATTAAAATTCATAGACTCAGTGCTCCAACTTTCAGGAGTTCAAAACACAGAAGTCTCATTCATTTCTTGTTCTTGGGATTACTCTGCACCAGGGGAGAAATGGAAAAGGAAAAATTGGAATAAAGATCCCAACAATCATGACACTGACTACTCAGCAGCATGGAAATAAGGAGACAAGGGAAGCCTACCTAAAAAAGAATGATGATTGCAGAGGGAGAATCAAACAATGAGAAGGAAAGCTGTGAGTACGAACTGACATAAAAGGAGAAAACAAGTTTATTATGCTTCTGCTAGGAAATAATGGAAGCAGGGTTTGGAATCACCCAGACAACAACTGGATAGATCATTTTAAGATTTAGCCTTTGAAAGTTTACCCTAAGTCAAGAATAAGAGATACCAAAAGCACTGTTTACATACTCTCACTTGATGATGTCACATAGCCAATTTGTGAATGGAGTGAAGAAAATTTCCACCACTGGCCATTACTGGGAACTTAGCAATAATAGTTTCATAGCTTCATACATGTGAAAAACAAGAGGAGGTACTGTCTTACTTCCATCAAGACTTAGTTCTAAAGTGCAGAAGCACTGGAAATTCATAATGGAGGGTGACAAAACCGTATGGATCTAATTTTGGATCTGCACACCTGGTAGCTCCAATGGAAGGCTAGTGAAAAGGCTGCTTCAAACTTCAGGAAATATACACATATACCTAAGGAATTACCTTGGTATCCAAAAGAGAGAGAACCAGTGTAAATCTACTACTGAGATGGAGTAAAATGTTGAAAGTTATTTTCATTTGTCCAGTTTTTGCAAGCAATAACATGTCAACAACAAGTGAAAAAAAAAAATTTTTTCCCTTTCTTTTTTTTTTTTTAACCCCTGGAATTTCCCAGCAGAACTGACAAGTTCTGTACACTGATTCACTGATTCTGTACACAGGAAGAGTATTCACCTAAAGCCCTTAATAGGAATGACTGGGCTCCTCAATACTCTAGAATATAAAACACTAGATGAACTCTGTTTTGTGATTATCTCTGACAACCCAATCAGAAAGCCTGGATTATGGCTGTTAGGCAGGATGACATCCCCAAAGATGAGAAAGAGTATGAAACACCAAGGCAAATTGAGTGCATTGGCCTGTTTGTTTTTCAGCCAAGAAAATGATCCAAGCAATTAAAGCCCCATGGTCAGCCTGTGGATGATGCTTATTTAAGGATGTCATCCTGGCACAGCATATTACTCCATTCCTCAAGGTTGAACAGGTTGATTTCTGTTGAGGAGGAAACTTTATCACATGACAAGGCTCCCTGCATGAAAGCACCAACAAAGATATGCTGATATAGAATGAGCTATATTTTTTCTGGCAATGGAGAATGGTCTGGATAACCACTTGGTTTGGGAGCCTAGAAGAATTTGGAGGCAAAATTTTTGCAAAAGTGAAGGAACTGAATGAAGGAAGAACAGTCTGAAAAATAACTTAGTCAAAATGTGTTCTTGATTCATCTGAAACTTGATTTTAAATTTCATGAAAGATAATATTGAATTATTCCAGAAAATGCTGAACTTATGACCATGACTTTCAGCAGTGTGGGAAGAAAATAGGTCGTTCTGGAAAATTGTAGATAACCCTATTTTGACAAGTTTTACTTATATAATTATAATTGATTTATAAGTCCCAATGGTAAACTGAATATCTGGTTAGCCAACCATTCTTCCCTAATAATGTTTTATAAGACAGATCCATTATCTTTCAACACAAGCCATTCTTAGGGGGGGAAACATACACCAAAGATATCAGGGGAAGGGATAACTACAGTTCCTTCTTAAAAGTCTCCTCTTAGAGAGAATTTTCCTCCTCACTGGGAAATAAAAATAAGCTTTGGCTGATCATCCAGTAACCAGATAGTAAACATTGGTTAAAAGGTAAAAGAATTAACCATGTTGGAATATCTGGGAAAAAGTAATTTTGTTACATTTTTCTACATTTTTCAAGGGAGGGGAGTACCTTCTCAAGTTAACTTATGGTATAGTCTTTATGACTCCTTACCTGATGTTCTTGGGACTTGGGAGCAACAAACAGCATTAAAAGTTCTGCTGCCAAGAGAGAATAGGTGATAATGTTGAATGCCACAAAGCCAATGAAACTTTTGCTCAAAAACCGTGGTCTTTCCCATTTGACACCAGGGATATGAAAAACCTGGAAAGATAACAATGAACAATTCCATAAGAAATCAGTATCAAGTCACAAAATCCTCATTCAAATGTAAATTTATACTTGATAGTCATACTTTTCAGTAAATGACCAATATATGTTGTAAAAAATTACAAATTTCTTAGATAGCCAAGAATTTGAAAATTCACTGGTGCAGATACTGCACCAGATACATTTTATATCCTGCCAGTTGAAATACAGATACTTCAAATACTATATTTAAGAATGTAGCCAAAAAATAGTAAAAAAAAAAATCAAAGGGAACTTCCTTTCATGGTGAACCTTCTGATTTGTTACTAACAAAAAGTTGAAGGAGGTGAGATCCTGGGGTTAAAATGCAAAAGTATGCAATGGTATACCAAACCAGCACCATTTAAAATGAAGGTTGACCACATTGCCAAATTTCACCACTCACTTGCCTATCATATGGCTTCTTTCTTGACTATTATGAATATCACCTCACCTAACTGTAAGCATTATTTAAATAGTTTTTACCACATTTTCATAATTTGTGGACAAATTTTCCACTTACTGATTTTCCCTTCTGAATTTTTATCAATTTAATTGCACTTCCACTATCTCATGATTCTACCTTCTTCAACCTGAACAGAATCTACCATGTGCTTTGCTGAGTATGTTTACTCAATGTTCACATCATGGATTTCTATGCTTGGTAACCTTCCATCAAGAGGTGAAATGAATAACCAAGGAAGTTACAGTCAGGCCTGATCTTAACAGGTGGGTTTTGTTAAGATGTCTCAGGCTTGTAGCACCTCTAGCCTCAAATCTTATCAGCCCACTCATCCCTCCTCCAACCATTAATATTAACAAGCTGAAGGAGAACACTTTGAATCATCAAAAATTAGTATGGAGGTACTAAGCAACATTCAGAGGGGTTACATGACAGAATTGATGTGTATGCAACTTTATGGCATGCAATTTTAACATTCAATGAAATAAAGGTAAATAATGAAATCTTCCCAAGTCCAGAATTATTAGACACCCTATATAGTTTCTTCATCAAAACTACACACACATCCTTGAATGGTACCCATGACCCTTAAATTCAATCCATTTGTTTATTCAAAGCACTCAAAGAATGAAGCTTATTAATCACAGAAAGGGGTAGCATGCTTACTTCAGCCCAGAAGCAGACAATAAGAGAAGATCCAGTGAGCATCACAGCATAATATGCTCCAAGGAGACTGGATGACAAACTCAGGTCATGGTTTTCCTGCAAGATAGTCAGCATAGTCAGAAGTCAGCCAAATTAGGTATTTCTTTCATCTTTTCTACTCAATTAAATTTATAACATACAGTGACTTTTCATTTTAAACAGTCTATCAATCAGCCTTTGCTGAGGAAAGTCCTATACAAGAAAAACTAATAGTTCTGAGGACAATGTAGAAGAATATCACAGCAAGTTCTTCCTTTGTTGTACACTTACTGCCAATGCTCGCACCTCAAATAAGATTTTAAAACTGATCATAACGTAAACATTGCTCTAAATACTTACTGGAATCAAAATTGGAAGTTTCCATAAGGAATAATTGATAAAATACTGAATAATTCCCAATAGCATGTTCTTCACATCTTCATAGCCTTTTCAGCAGAAATGCACTAGTCAATGACCATGAGAACACCTGGGGGAATTCCATCAATTTGCACATCAATTACATGTTCAGCTTGAGAGAAATTTATTCCCTAGGTACACACACTACCGGATCTGTGAGATACTTACGCCGAATGAAAAGTATACAGCACGCAATGCAGCAGCAATGAAGATGAGGACATAAAGAGCCTTCTGTGTGGTGACACGAAATGCTCTTCTAAATGAGGGTGTCTTCATTCGTTGCACCTCTGCATACATGCACACGATGAGTTGCAGGAAGGAAACAGCACACACAGTGTAGAATATGGATGCAAATGCTAAGAAGTAACTTCGATTTGGATCTTGACACCAATCTCCTCCAAACTCCACCTTAAAAGAAACAAATACTATGAAGTTAAGAAAAATAATAAATACTTCCTCATCTTCCCTTCTGTAAATGGCTTAATGCTAGTAGAAAATATCTGGACAAGGGGCTTTCATTATTAGAAAGAATGCTCCATCCCCAAATCTCATATTGAAAATACCTTTTAAAAGAATCAAATATAGAAGTGCTCCACCAGACTCACCTCACAGACACACGTGCCATTGAAGCAATCACCTCTACCAGAACAATTGGCTTCACAAAAGCTCATGGTCAGCAAGGGAAACAACCTCTTCCGTCCTAGTACCATTGTTGTTTAGCAATCATCACATCAAGCCATCAACCAGAAAAGATTTTCATGAATTGGAATATAGCTTCTGCTGAGTCGCTCATAGGCCTTTTTAACTTCCAGGAATAGGCCAAACATCACTCACATCCAATATTGATCTATAACAGTAAGAACCCATTTTATACATGAAGACCTAGGATATAGCAGAGCAGTCTTGGAAGTGACACGAGGCATGTGAAACTGGGAGCAGGCTGATGCCTATACTTAGGGCACAAAATAACAACCAACATTCCAACAAATCTACAATAACCGCTAACAAGTTAACTCTTAGAAAGTTGGGACTTCAAATGCAGGGAATTTTTATGCACCCATAGCAAATATATTTTCAGACTAAAATAAAAACACAATGACTGATAGTATTTAATTAACTGCCTGTAGGTATGAGAGTAACAAAGCTAATCTAAATCTTTAAAGTTAAATTATTCAAATGTATAATAAGATTCGTAACATCAGAATCAGCTCCATCGTGAGGGTAAAAGAGGCTGACTGCAGATGCTAATCATAAAAACCACAGTCTCTTTTCATTTTTTGTATTCCAAACTGGTCAACCAGGGCAAATTCAAAAGGTTTTATGGATGGCCTCCTTTCCCTCTCCTCACTGCTGTTCATTTTTTTGGGTTATTTCCTTCCCTCTCTCTTTCTTTTGCTTTCTGCATGTTTTTACTTTTGCCCTTTCCATTTGTCTTATGATTTGCTATTTTTATAACTGTCATCATGCTTTCCATTCTTAAATTATTTTATTCTTTTTATTTATTTTCAATTTATTTATTTTTATTTATTTATTCCTTTTCTGTGCATTCCTCTCATTTGCAGCATTATGCATAGCCCTATTATTACATTATTTTTTATGAATATTTGTTGTTTGCTGCTTCAAAGACTGAATGTCACCATAAATAAAGGTCTCATTCTTATCCCTCTCTCAAATTCAAAAGTGTGTTCCACCATGATGCAAATGTTCCAGTGAATCTTCCCACATGAGAGAGTTCCCATGGAAGATACCAAATTATTGTCCCTCTCAAAATGCAAAAACACCTTGATGTCTGAACCATGACCATTGATAAGTGCCTGGGGGGCTGAACAAAAGAAATGAACCATCAATGCATCTCTCTTTCTAAATACCATACTTATCATAGGCTTAGGCAGATTTAACAAAGGCTGGGTCTACTGGAGTGAGAAGGGCGATTACATATAATCCATTCTGCATTTGAAAAATGGTTTGATTCTTGGGACTGGATCTTTCAAGCGAACGTGACACTAACTCTTATGTCTATATATACCTATATAGACATATCTATATAACAAGAGCTGTTAATCTTCTTTATATTAATAAAATTAATCTAACAGTCCCCTGGAACGCTTTGTTCTCTGGGAACTCATTTTGATAAATACTTGACCAACCACGTGGAACAGATCCAACTATGCTCACAATGGGGGCGAACTGCTCCAACCCTCAATATATATATATATTACCAGCCAGGAGCAAATAAGCACAATGACAATGACAGTTCATACACAAATGTCTGAACTTCAACTCCTTCCATTACGTAAGACAAAGTTCACATTGCAACTAAAAATACACGATATAAGCATATCCTCTGGCGCAGGCACTGCTGATTATAGACAAACCTAGTCTACACCTACAACAGCTTCCTTTGTAGGGTTAGGAAACAGACTTTGCTAGCAATAACACTAGGCCCTTGGAAGCATAACCTTGGATAAGAAATCAATACGATTATGAAGGACGCCATATTTGACTCCGACCTCATTGAAAGGAGAAGTCGAAAGGAGTGTGCTTTAATTGACAGGCGAACCTGTGAAAGATAGCGATATTCGCATAACCTGTTCCAAAAAAAATAATGCTAGTTGACAGCGTTTGTAGTTAAAATCCTAAAGAAATAAGCCTAAAATTCGGAGAATGAAACTAACCGGACTAACACCTACGACCTTCTCGGGCCGATCGAAGGAGACCACAGTGACGAACAAGAAGTAACATGGCAGCGCTCATATCAGCTGTTCATCATTGATCGCCGCGCTCCAAGCGAATCACTGCAGGTCGAGGAATGCCCTCTTGCCCGATTCTTCTCCGATTGAATCTTCTGGGCTGAGAGGCTTGGTGGAAAATTTTAGTCATTATGAAGTCCCCAACTGAGCTTTTCTTGAGTATCACGATAGCAGCCGTAATTTCGTCGAATCTTTACACGCGAGCACAAAATTTAATCGTAACGAACGAGGTAGACCCCACGGTGCAAAGTAGTGGAAGGATCAAAGGAAATTCGACAAGACCTTTGGTGGTGTTCCATGGGCTGCTTGACGAGCCTCATGGCCTTGACTTCATGATGACGTACCTGTCAGAGGTAGGCCATGGTCGATGTAGAAATCCAGTTTTCCTTGTTACGTTAGTTCTACAGCTGTCACTTTCTTTTTCTCCATATATTGAAAGCCTACAAATCTCAAGGGCAAGACCCTCACAATATGAAACTAATCGGGAAACATTATCTGGTAATTGCACAATTGTGTGTTTTAGGCGCAATCATGCAGAAATGTTTGGATTTTTGCAATCGCTTGCAAAAAAACAAGAACTAAGTAGCCCTGTGAGCAGGCCTATTTATCCTCTTTTTCTTCTTTCCTATAGCATGCACAGTGCAAGGTGTATCTGATGGATGCCTTCCATGGGCTGGAGAGTTTAAGTCCCATGTGGGTTCAAACAAACAAGTTTGTGAGCAAACTTACAGAAGTCATGGAACAACATCCTGAGGGTGTTAATGTCTTAGGTATTCATGAAAGATGCTTTAGCCCTTTGGGTCTGAATTCTTTGGTAGTGCCCATATGAAAATGTCAAATATGTTCTTATACAAGAACATAAATGATGTTCATGCATGATATAATTGATGTGATCATATATGGCATGGTCATGTATGGGTTTTACTAGAAACATATATTCAGCTTACAGGGTAAGTAGATATGGATGATACAGTCTCTATAAAACTCATAAAGCAGGTGTATGTGTATCACATGGACTCACAGGCATGCATTCCAAATAATTTCTGCATGAAGGTGTTTTGTCAGGCACCCTCATAGCCCTGATTATGCCAACCCTTATGAAATGTATGCTCAATATTTTTAGTTCCATGCATTGAATGTGTGTAATTAAATGTTCCATGTTCCATATACTTAGTCTTGTGTACTAATAAATGGAAGATAAGGTAAAGATGTATGGCACGAGTGTTTGTGTATAACTGTCATATATGATCTTTCTGTATGGGTGTTCAATCGCTCAAGACAGAATGAATTCATGCAATGAGTATTGCTATCCACCTATTTGGTACAGTCCATATTAAAAAGATTCAACTAGTGACCAAGAGCTACAATTTTTCAAATATGATGGAACAACTTTTCTTATTACCCTTATACATCCAGAAGGGAAATTTTCTTATGGGTTGTGTTAATACACCAGACAGTAAAGGGTTAAGGATGCCTCTTTAAACCAATTTGCAACACTGTAATGCATTTTGAAAATGCTCTGATAATCTGAAGATGTTACGACATAGCAACTTGGCTTCGGGTCAATAATGAAGTAGGTGTTAGTTGGAACTCATGACCAAACAGTCATCATGATCAAACCAACTAAACATCATGACTGACAGGTATAGGAATAACCTATTTCAGTGACTGATGATGCAATTAGCACTGCAGCAGAGGGATTCTAAGCATGTTTCCTATGATATTGCATGATATTACTATTGGTTCAACTCCTTTGCTCTTGCAATATTCATGTGACCTGGCATAAACAATGATAGACCTACAGGCATGCATTCCCTCTTTAAGGCATCATTGATTTAAAAAATGTAAAAAGTGTGGGAGAAGGGAGGAGGGTAATTGGCTTACAAAGGGTACTCCATAAGTTTCTGGACTTAATTTCAAAATCATGGCTTTCCCCCTCGTATTTCTGAAATTCAAACATGACCTTGTAGTGGTACCTCTCACAGTATTATTGCCAAAAGTATACTATCAGAGGTTTTTTTTTCCATAGCAATAGTGTGTCTATAAGATTTACACCATTTCACCATTTTATAGCAAAAACCAATGTCACAGAATAATATTGTGATGTGCTCAACACATTCCAATGTGTTGAAGGAAGTTTCAGTTGTCAGTTGAGGAATCCAATCCAAAAGCAATTTTTGTCAAGTTCAGCTGTTCATGATCCATTTATAGGACTGAAACTGAAACTTCATCAGTGCAACAACTTGAGTACCTTATGATTATTCTTTGATGTTGGGTTTTGCTTCAAATTGTTAATAAAACGCCTTGACATATTTAAGTGGGATAGTCTCTCTGAAGTAGGTCACAAGAGTACCAAAGATTTTCTATGTATCCTATGCTCCATGAGCCCAATGAGAACTTGGGCATTCAAAGTTTCAAAGTTGATGACTTTCATCGGCTCTCCTGCAGCCCTCTCTTAAACCAAAAGTGCACAAAAAAAACCATGCCGTTTGCTCAATCATTCTTCCCTGGGAGTGTTTGGACCTACTTCTCTTCGTGCATTTAAATGATCTAATTAGTGTTCTCTTTTTTAAAGTGAAAATTGCATTATCACTGTTGACCCATTTAACTCTTGCTGTATCATAACGAATGACGAAAAAATTACTGCTGAAATGAAAATAGATTATCTTCGGAAGGAAGCAGCCTCAGATAAAGCGTATTCCAGGATGAAGTTCGCAGAGAGGTGAAACTTCATCGTCACCCAATTTCGCAAGCTCGGCGGGGGAAGCCATGATATGGCCCGAGTCCCAGGAACTTCTAAGCTCCTCTCATGGAAAGGAATTTCCATTGCGCAAAAATCAGTCCAAATCAAATTCAGAATTTCGGGCCCCACCGCCTCGCAAGTTCCACCCACGGTTGGGTGACCCCCCACCCCCATGCACCCCTGCCATCGCCATCCAGCGCCTCACCGACCTCCCTTGCTTTTCCAGGCTATTCCCAAGGAGGCTTGCTCGCCCGAGCCGTGATCGAAGTCCTCCCCTCGCACAACATCCACAACTTCATCTCGCTCAGTGCGCCGCAGGCCGGGCAGTACGGAGGTACGTCCTTCCGGAGTCCCTGCGTGGTACTTGGGCGTCGAAGAAAAAAAACGCCCGAGGATTCTCGAGGGTCTTGTTGCTCGGGTCAAGGGAGGGAGATACGACGAAGGACCACTCTTATCCAACGGCACAGATTATCTTGGATTATTGTTCGGCTCTCGTATGCATTAAGGACATCTCTTGTAATCTTCGGTGACCTTTTTTTCTGCCACGGTGACCTTTTTTTTTTTTACGCTTATCGCGTAGAATGTATTTCCTTATTCGGGTCGCGCCGCGGATCAGCGGTCGTTCCGACTTTGGCCGCGTTTTTGAGCATGTTTCCTTCCAGGAGGTGCTGGGGATTCTCGAGAACGTTTCCCCGTAGGAATAACAGGTTGGTTCTGTGTACATCCTTTGCGATGAGGGATCTGTTTTCGAAGAACGGTGTTATTTTCGTCGACGAGATGCTTCCGTTGACGAAGCTATTTTGAAGTTCATCGACGGGAACGAGGCGATGAGGGAAATTGCTTTGCCGAGAACTTCGGCCGCGAATCTTTCCATCGATCTTCGGGGAGGAGTGGAAGGGGAAAGAATCCGCTTCGTTTTCTTCGAGGGGACGGCTGATGAAATTATGATTAGGTGTCGCTCCAGAACTGAAGCCGAAACTTATTGGCGAATTCTAGTCTCTGGCTAAAACTTAGACTAGGAGTAAGGTCTGGATTTCGGTCGAGAGATGATGAAAAGCGATGTTCGAAAGCCCTGACACTAGCCAAAGCTTAAACAGGAAAAAAATAAAACTTGAAAAAAAAAGAACCGCTTCGCACCTGGAATATCCTGGAGGAAACGGGTGTTTTTGCCGCCGTCTGCCCTCTTCCCAAACGGAAAACGATCTAAACAGATATGCGGAAAAGGGAGAAGACGCGCAGAAGAGCTCGCACGGGTGACGTCGTGAACGCCGGAAAACGCACTCGAGATAGCGACGATTCCGCGCCGTGTCCGTCCGCATCGCAGCGGCCGGAGGAACAGAGATGCCCCCCGGGCCTCCCTCGTGCCTTCCCCGCGGGGGCGTGGGAGGGGGAAGGGGGGACGGGAGGAGGCGTTACGCAGCGCGTTCCCGTTCGCGAGTCGAGTGGAAGGGAAGAAAGAAGGGGAGGGAAATGGGAAGGAGGTAGGGAGAGGGGAAAGGAGAGGAGAGGGGAGGGGAGGATGGCGTGCACTGGGCTCACACGAGGGCTGGAGAGGTTCTTCTCCTCGTTGAGTTATCCGTGCGGAGACGCAAAAAGTAAACCCGTGATAGTGGCGAGATAAATCCGGCACCCTGAGCGAGTACATCGTGAGTCATTCTTGATCCGAGGGAAGTCCAGGAACTGGGATAAGTGCTATCGCACCGAAGAAAGGAGTGGAGGGGCGGGGAGAGGGGGGGGGACGGCCGTTGGCCCGGGCGACGTGGCTCCGTGCAATGCCAGGAGTGGTTCCTGGTTATCAGTTTGACGTCACGATTCGGGACACTTGCACCTTAGAGCCGTATAAAAAATGAATGTTTCTGCACTGGTACTTTTTTTTTCCCTCTCTCTGATGATGGGGATCCTCTTCGCAGCACGAAGGGAGGGAGTTCGCAGCTGCCGAGATCCGGCGGCGGGTCGGGTCCGGATCCCGTGACCGGTTTGTCGTCGCGTTCGAGGAAGGTGCGACGTGGCCCGGGTGTCCATAAATTTTACGCAGCGGTTGTTAACTTTTTATCGGAAATCGGGAGTCCTTCCATCGTGGGAGGGGAGCGGCGCCGGATCTGGATACCGGATTGCCGCTTATCCGGCGCCGCTCCCTCGTTCCAATTCCATCGCCCGAAATGGCTCTTTCTGTGAGGCGGCCGATGCTTAGGTGGCAGCCGAACTCCTGCGACGAAGCGGTGGAAGGACCTGTCGCTTCCATCGAGAACACAGGGTGTGGGGAGAAGGCGGCCAACATTCGACCGATGAATCTTTAATACTCCATTTTTTAATATGAAAATTTTACAGCGCCGAACCCCGACGAGCTACGAGCCCGCAGAGTTGTTTCCCCCCCCTCCCGCAAGAGGGGGCGGGGGGTAGGGGGGGGTCGTAATAATATTTGGAAAATTCCGCACATTTGAAGGTCGAGATGTCCCTGGAAGGCTTAAGAACGCAGAGTGACGAGGCAGGATTCCTTGCACATTCCGTGACGCAAGAACGCGAGGAGACGACGGCCGGATTCAGGAAGGGACATCACCCCCTGCCCCCTCTCCCCCCCCCGCCCCCCTTGCCCCCACGTCGCAGCCACGCTCAAGCACGCCCAGGGGAGCGCCCGGATGCTCTCCA